TTTCCCAAACTGACATGACTCACATTGCAAAACTGACAAATGACTCAATGACGGGACCAAAATCTTGAGAGCCTTGAGAGATGGATGTCCCAGTCGGCAATGCCATTGTAGAGGAGTAAGTGAAGTCTGAAGAGCAATTGAAGATCCACCACCGTCAAGATATTACAATCCACCAGCTTCATGCCCCCCACCAATCTTCTTCCCCGTCTTGAGATCCTGAAAAACACAAGTGGAAGGAAAGAAGGTAACAGAACAGTTAAGAGCTTTGGTTATTTTACTAACAGGCATAAGATTAAATGGAAACTTAGGTACATATAAAACAGATGATAAGGGCACAAAAGCCATGTCAACATTACCAATACCACAGATGGGAGATGAGGACCCATTGGCAAGTGTAACGGTTTGTGATGTGGAGGTTTCAGAAAGAGAAGAGAGCACACCTGGAGTCCCTGTCATATGATCTGAGGCTCCAGAGTCAATAATCCAGGGAGAGGTTTTRGATGACATGCAAGCAATAMCTRAKTGGGCAAGTGTGGCAGTGGTATGCTGTGAAGTAGTTTGAAGGAACCGTTCATACTCATCATGCGGTACACTCACCATCTCCCTCCCAGAAGTAGATGTAAATGGAAGAGGAGTATGATCTGCCTGTTTACTGTCACTGATGTCAACCTCACCTGCTACCGCATGATTAGCCCATTTGGAGGGAGGGCCATGTAGGTCATAACAGAAATTCACTGTGTGCCCTTCCCTACCACAATGTGTACACTTCCTTGGAGAGTTATTCTTCCCTCTGCCACGGCCTCCCCCTGAGTCACGACCACCCCAACCAATCATGGAACTACCACGGCCTCCTCGGGGAGCATGACCTCCCCCTCTTGTACTATGTCCACCTCCTCTAGCTGTCACAAGTGCCGATCTATCAGACTGTGTGGAGTTCTCTCTCCATTCCAAAGAAATTCTACGAAGCCTTGAGAATACTTCCTCAAGTGTAGGAAGAGAAGAGCCCCCTAATATTTGGGCTCTAACTGGTTCATA